GCACCGTTGTCACGGCAACACCGTTTGACTTTTTAAAAAGCTTTTAACAACTTTTAATGTCCCACTTGTCTAGATGATACAGAATGATTCTGGTGAGTCTGGGTCAAATGCCCTAGGACGAGTTTGTTCAAATACAAGGACAGGAAATTGTCCCTTCGGCGCCAGGTTGCACGTTCGATCCAATATGGCGGACTTCCTGTTGGTTGTCTAGTAACTGCGTAATATACTTTTTTGTTCCTATTCCCATGGCGCATCTGTGTACCAAATTTGGTTTGGTTACGCCAAACTTTTTGTCGGGCGTCCTATTGGCGAGGACCGATGTTTGGCTTGTTGTGTTGCCATGGCAACACAAAAGGAAATGGCATGGGGGCGCCATTGACTTTTTTGATCGAGAACATGTCACGAATGTGTGTGCCAAATTTTGTATGTCTACAACAAAGTAAATTTTTGCACTTCCATGCAATGTCTCTAGGGGGCGCTATTGCACCCATTTTAGATTTTTTTATATGAATCTGTTCAGGGTCGGGGTGTCCACCAACGATTAAAGTTTGAGTGAAATCAGCCACAGTTTGTGCGAATTATCACTCGTCGAAGTTTGATGGCGAGCCGCAAAAACGAACGCAAAATTTTGACCATTGCCATGGCAACACCATTTGACCTTTAAAAAAGCTTTTAACAACTAACCTGTCCCACTTGCAATGTATTTTGATTTTGCAGGGGGCGCTGTTGAGCCATTTTTTTTTTAGGTTTTTTGATGTGGAGTATTTGTAAATTCCTATTTTGGCGATCTTGAATTTTGTGCAAAATTTCATGAGTTTTCGTCAGTGGGAAGCGTGTGAACTTTGCTCAGGGGGGTGAGGAAAATAATAATAATAATAAGAAGAAGAAAAAACAGAACAATAACAATATAGTGCCACCTATGGTGGCACATATATATATCATTGGAAAGGGCTCGCGTCCAGTAACGCACCTGTTACGTTACGTTACGTTTTGAGGTGAACAATAACAATTAGGCCGCTATCGCGGCCCACGGGCAATGCTACCGTGCCATGTCAGCGGGCACCAGTCACTGACATGTGAGTGTGAGTGTGTTTGGAAAGGGGAGAGCACTTCGCGCTCTGTTGCGTGTGCTGTGCGCACGCCTTCCCGCAGTGCTTCGCACTGATGAACAGTAACAATAGGCCCCCATGGCGCTCGGGCCTAATAATAATAATAATAATTTTGTTGATTTGTTTTCAATTAAATTATCATTACTATATTAGTCTACATCTGATTTTAGCTCTCCATTTTTATTTTTACTATAACCTTTAGCAGCTTTATGTTTTATGTTTCTCTTTAAATTGTTGTACCCACAAGGGGGTTGGGGTTGTTGATGTTTTGTTGTTTTTAATATCATTTTCTGTTGCATGTGAAGCACGTTGTGCTACATTTCAAATGTGCTATACAAATCAAATTTGACTGATTGACTGATTTTTAAAAAAGAAACACACCTTTTGTAACACAATCACAAAACTGCCACTGATTCTTCTATGGAAGTCATGAGTGTGATTGTCAACAAAAAATGTGTTGATCAATCTTCTTCCATGGAAGTGACACACCTGAGTTCACTGCCTCAGGGTAATTTCCAACTTTCCAACTAATTTCTTATAAAACAAACAAATACTAAATTTCAACAACATGTTGAATTAAACGCTTCTGTTGTTGATGGCAGTGCTGATTGTCGATGATCCATGACCATTTCAGTTCTACCGGGGCAGGCCTTGAGCAGGAAGTGCTTCATTTGCATACACCCCGCTGCAGGTCTACACATGCCCACCTGGCATTTATATTTAATGACAGCAGTGAAAGCACTAGGCACAGTCACCCCTTTAAAGAAGTCGTTTATTTAACATTGTGGAAACCACTATCTGAAGTCTGAGACTCATCCACTGTTCGGCAATAAAACAAAACATTTAACAATTCTTCTTGTATTACAATTCTGATATCTGATCAAATGTCATCTGTACCATTAGGAATGAAGCATCAATTATTATCAAGTAGTAAAATAACAAATCCTGTTCTACAGGACAGTGTTGGGGCCACGCTGCATTACCAGTTTAATAATAAAATTCTATGACTTTTTCAGTGCAGAAGTTCTCTTCCATGGTCTTTTCATATGTTTGGATGCCAACCATTAAGACACAGCACCAGTGTATAAACTTTTCACATCGTATAGACAACATTCCTTGGCTGTGTAGAAAATTGCTGTGTACCTGAACAGTTGTTTTGAAATGACAAAATTAATAAAAATGATTTGTAAAGTGGTAATGATGTTGTTTGGGTGTATTTGAACAGCCCTGTCATTTATCGTCTGAGTTTGAGCCATCAAGTCTAACAGCGGCAGGTGGACAACGGCAGCACCTGACTTTAACACAGGTGTACAGTCTCACCTCACAGCCAGAAGGTCCTTCCTTCAGTTCTCTGACTGGCCTTTATAGCTCTCTAACTGGGATAGTGAGAAGTAAACCCCAGTCTTTACAGTGAAGCAGGTCTGAGACTTTGGCCCTGTTCCAAGAGCCATAAAGATCCTATAGAGAGGGTGGAGACTGAAACTTGGTGTTGAGAACACAAGCTCTCGGCTCTCAGAGTTATTATGCTGTGAAACTCAGTGCTGTAGTAAAGATGGAGACGATGATTTTGGAGGTATTGGAATTTTTTCCAGATTGCCAAAGTTGGCAACTGTTGACACGACACACAATATAAACATCACAGTATAGCAGGGAAATCAGATATTCTCCATGACATGAGACATGTTGAGCAAAATAGACAAAAAAGAGAGAATCAGCTCCTAATACTTCATTGGGCACCACAATTTTCCAACCTGGAAATCAGCAGACTTGTTTCTTTTAGATCGTTTAGTTGTTTTAGATCAATATTACGATTTAAAATATCCAAAATATTACAGAATGATTTCCAGGTGTCATAGATTATAACTCTTCACCAGACAAAATCACAACTTGTCTTCTTTAAAATACCCCCTGGTTTAGTGTCCCTGAACAAACTCAAGTTTACTAAAAATCCTATGTTACACAAAATTGATTCTTGTGAGCGTTTAGTCTTGTTAGAATCCTGTTACCTCATCAAAAACATACCCAGAGTTGAGTTTTGTTTTGTTCCACATAAGTTTGAGACAGTAAAGCTAACAACAATTAGCATGCAAACACACATTTCCTAATTATCAGACAATAAAATGCTTTCTAATTAGACACAGACAGTACTCGAAGGACAAGAGCTGCTTATATACACTACCAGTCAAAAGTTTGGACTCACCCTCTTGTTTTTTTTGTTTTTGTTTTTTTATGTACTACTTTTTACATTTGACAAACATACAAAAGACATCACAATATATAAAGTAAGAATATGTAGCAAAGAAAATAAACGTTTAGTAACTCTTATTAAGTTGGTAATTTGGTTATCCTTTTTCTTTAACTTTTTTTTTTTTAACTACATAATTCATACATTTAGACTTAAACTTATACATAGACAAACTTTATTGACCAATCACAATATATAATAATAATAATAATAACAAAGAGTAAATATATATATGTACAAATAAGTAAAAAAATCTCAGCTATTTAGAAAGAGGTCATAAAGTAAACCAGTAAGTTGATTGACAGGACATAGGGCTGTACGTTGCATAAGGGTGAGTTGTTGTACAAGTATATGGAGTGTGGTATGAATATAATCCTGTATCTGTCACTGTTTGAGTGAAGCTGTAGGAGCCTGTATGAGTATTGTCTCCTCTGTCCCTCTATAGCAGTGGGTGAGTTGTTGTACAGTTGTAGGGAGTATTATCTGTCCCTCTGTAGTCTGATGCATTGGTTGAGTTGTTTTACTGTTGTAGGGAGTATTATCTGTCCCTCTATAGTCTGGTGCAGTGGTGAGTTGTTTTACTGTTGTAGGGAGTATTATCTGTGACATAAGGGTGAGTTGTTGTACAGTTGTAGGGAGTATTATCTGTGACATAAGGGTGAGTTGTTGTACAGTTGTAGGGAGTATTATCTGTCCCTCTGTAGTCTGGTGCAGTGGTTGAGTTGTTGTACAGTTGTAGGGAGTATTATCTGTCTCTCTATAGTCTGCTTCAGTGGTTGAGTTATTGTACAGTTGTAGGGAGTATTATCTGTATAGTCTAGTGCATTGGGTGAGTTGTTGTACAGTTGTAGGGAGTATTATCTGTCCCTCTATAGTCTGGCGCAGTGGGTGAGTTGTTGTACAGTTGTAGGGAGTATTATCTATCCCTCTATAGTCTGGCGCAGTGGGTGAGTTGTTGTACAGTTGTAGGGAGTATTATCTGTCCCTCTATAGTCTGGCACAGTGGGTGAGTTGTTGTACAGTTGTAGGGAGTATTATCTGTCCCTCTATAGTCTGGCACAGTGGGTGAGTTGTTGTACAGTTGTAGGGAGTATTATCTGTCCCTCTATAGTCTGGCACAGTGGGTGAGTTGTTGTACAGTTGTAGGGAGTATTATCTGTCCCTCTATAGTCTGGCACAGTGGGTGAGTTGTTGTACAGTTGTAGGGAGTATTATCTGTCCCTCTATAGTCTGGTGCAGTGGGTGAGTTGTTGTACAGTTGTAGGGAGCATTATATGAATCAGTTTGTCAATCTGCCTAATGTCACAGAAAACTGAAAAAAATAAAATAAAATAAAATGAAAGAGTGAGTCCAAACTTTTGACTGGTGCGTGATGTAATGGGGCGAGACAAATGTAGGACAGGACATTTAATAGTTGAGTGTTTAGTTGTAAATATAATCACCTTGAGTAGTACACCTCTCCTCCACTTCCCTTTGTTCTACCCTCAGTGTGGTACGTGGAGCGGGTAATCTGATGATGTTTGTTTTGTGTTGGTAGTATGCAAATCACTGCTCCCTTAGCCAATAGAATGCCCCACTGGTGAGAGGCAGTGCCCTGTGTCATCTGAAGTATCCCAGAGGTGAAGTCGTAGGTTCAGACCAGTTGTCGAGTCTGGAGGAGGAAGAGACAGAGCAGGTTCAGGTTAGGTTCAGGGGCAACCGGGGCCAACAAGGATGTCTTATATTTCTACTGTGGCAATGTATTTTCTGATGACTCTGCTGGTGAGTGCTACATTATATGACCAACTTATACAATTATAATACTTTAAAGATGCGGTCTGTAACTTTTCTGGTGGAGGGTCTGGATTTTATTGATTTAAAAACATGCATTTTTCCTGTGAGCGGACTTCCCTCTCGATGCTCTATGATGTCAATATGTTAGATTATAAGTGAAAATAAAAAATGATGGAGGTTATAATTTTTATGAGAGGCAATTCCATTCATAAATTGTTATCTATCACCCGTAATGTTAATAAGGATCAGAATAGTACCGGTATGTTTTGTTTCGTTTTTAATTAAAAAAAAGAAAAAAGAAAAAAACAGTGCTGAAATGAAAGACTAACTGTATCAGAATATAGTACTGAAAATTTTAAAACATATTTTCTGTGCGTATATTTCATGACCATCACTGCCTTCAGTGTTTCACAGTATGGCATTCAGCCAACTATTTACTACAATGATTTTATTATTAAGTGTTGTTGTTTTTTTATATAAAATAACAAAAATGATTAATGCCAAAAGTGTCACAGCAGGAAAAATTAGAAGAATTTGTGAACATGTCTGCAGCTGCTCTGTTACGCCAGAGGAGAATGACTAGTAGAACATAATCCTCGACTGTCGCTCTCTCCTCTCTCCCCGATGTACAAAATCAAAAAATTAAACTGAAATGAAAATCTATTCTAAGAAAGAGAAATTGTACATGTGACAGTTTTATTAATCAAAATAACTTATTTTTTTATTTTTTTGTGGCATTGTGGTTCTGGTTAAATAAAATACATTTACATTTCTTCAGGACAAAGGTTCCCACGTAAAGTAGCACCAACATCAAAGCTTCCAAAGATTTTAACAAATGTTCATTTCTAATTCTAACTCTGACTTATTTAAGTTTTAACTACAAAAAATGTGGAAAAATCTGAATCTCTACACCAATTGTAAAGTACTATTCACACTGTTTGCAGATCCTGTCCAGTATGAGCTCCACTGGAGCGGCAGCGCGCAGGAGGCACCGCCGACACTGGCTCGTCCCATCCAAGAAGTTAAGGGAGAATGATGACTACAGAGACACCCCCATCACTCGGGTAACAGAGACCTCAGCTCTCATTTTATCACCATCTGACTTTATCTGTGTGAGCCACACTCATGTAGGGTAATTCTTTTTAAAACAAAACAAGCTCTTGTGCATGACACTTACGCATATTTTTTGACAAAATATTTTGCAAAAATGTTTTTTTCTAATTCTGAAAATGCAGTTTGTATTTGTAATTCAGGTTTTATTTAACATTCAAAGAGCTTATGTTCCATTAGTCAACTATTTTAGAGAGTACACATGTAAAAGTTAAATGTGAAACATTTGGAAATTTTTAACTTGAACATTTTACATACATGTTTGCATGAACTGCTTACTGTTTTTCATTTTATCAGCCGTAAATCATCCACAATTAAAATTCCACAATTAGAAATTCAAATAAAAATTCTCAACTCATCTATGAGATTGGTTTGGTTGTGGTTGGTTTGTCTACTGTCTGATGGAGCCATTATGCCCTCTACTGGCATTTTGAGTTCCATTTCAATACCCATGTATTTATCTCAGATCATCAAGGTTAACGCCCTCTTTTATTTGGATGATATTAACATTCATATTTTTGTGTGTAACTGTTCCTGCAGATCAGGTCAGACATGGACATTAAAGAGCCGCTGCATTACTCGCTGACAGGCCCTGGTGCAGACCAGAGGCCCTACAACCGCTTTGTCGTGGACGAAAATGGGATGGTCTACGTCACCGAGGTTCTGGACCGAGAGGACATAGACAACTACACTGTGAGTAGTTAGGACTGGTCCTCTGTATTTCACACATGCTTGATTGAAGCAGATCAAAGCCACTGAGAATGGTTATTTGGTGCAGACATGTAGGAAAGTATAGCTTTATTGTGAGATTTGAACCTGTAATCTGCTGATGTAGATTCTCTATCACCACGTCAGAAAATACAAGCCCCTGACGCGTTCACAGAGAGGAGGCTTGACTGCCAAACATGCTATGGTCCACAGTATGACATATCTGCTACTATAGAGACAAGGTGGCTTTACCTCGTCAAGTTACAGGTCAGATCTGTGGTGAGGTGACCCCCCTCACAATAAGTAATAAGTAAAGTATGATTTATAGCAAGACACCTATAATTGAATTACAGCAACCATCTTTATTTTTTTCACCAGTAGATGACAGATGAAATCTTCTTTCCGTCCCCTCACCTGGCCTTTGTTCAAGCTCACCTGTGCTCCCTGGTCTTCTTCTGTAAGACCAGAGCTGGTACAGACTGCAGTCGTGTAGAAAGCTTCTACAGTGACGTTATGTGAAAATACAAGACTGGGTTGGCCAGTCTAATTACAAACTGTAGCTTTAAAGCAAGTTTAATGACATACTGTGGAACATTACACACATCACTAATGAGTGGACCGTTTCTTTGCTGTCACTGTCCCAAAGCTTTGGAACTCTCTACTTCCACAACTGCAACAAATCTGTTTACTCAGTCTCAACTACAGACGCATGTATTTAGCATGCTTTTGCTGTCTAGTTATGGTTAGTTTAGTCTTTGTATTTGTGTATTTTAAGATTTTATTTTTTTCCAGTTTTTTATTGTCCTGTGAACCACCTCAAGCACCTTCTGGCTTTTGCAAGGCACTATACAAATAAATCTTGATTAATTGTTTGCTTGAGAAAAGTTCCATAGTGCACCTTTAAAACATAGAACCCCCTTTAATAAGCTTATCAAAAACAAAGAAATGTCTTGACAGGCAGCAGCAAGTCCTCCACGCTAGATAATTCCCATGTTATTTGGTGGGAATTTCTGAGCTGTAGACCATTTAATGATGTGTAATCAAGTGGCATGCCTTCTTTTTATTTGATGTTTTATTTATGGGAGAATTGGTCATAGAAAGTGGGTGTGTTGATGCTATATAGGCTATGATTATGTGTGAATATTCTGTTACAGCTCAAAGGAGTGGCGCGTTACCTTAATGGCTCTATAGCGGAGGAAGAGATCATGCTGATATTTGAAGTGGAGGACGTGAACGACAGTCCCCCAGTGTTCCCCAGTAGGCCCCCCCTGTCTGTGAACGAGAGCAGCCTCCCAGGTCAGAATACACACACAAAAGTCAGACATATAAAAGATTGTTTACATGCACACGCTCAACCTGTCACACCACTTTCAGTCTGCACACAGGTACAAATCAAACAACACACACACAAGTGATCAAAGTGCTTTCAACACAATATAAAAACATTAAAGATCCTATGTTACACTAAATGACTCTTGTGATGTTATAACGTTGTCACCTCCTCAAAAACAAACCCAAAGTTGTGTTTCATTCACACGTTTAAGTTTCACATCTTTTATTATTAGTCTGTCTATATTTCCAAAGTGTTTAAGAGAAGTAGGTTTGGTCTCTGCCCCCCGCACCAGCACATCTTGATAAGAAAGGGTAAAATGGGATAAGAAGTTGCGAATATGTGTTATGAATTCTTTCCCAAAACACACAGAGTCTGGGCAGGTCCAAAATAAGTTAGAGGTGGTTTCATTTTTCAGTTCACAAAGTGTAAAGTTTGTGTGCGTTGCCCTTCTAAGATGATTCTTTGGAGGATAGATGTAGAAGTTTGTAGCAGATTTCCCTTTGCTTGTTGGTGATGAGATATTGGTGAGGTAATGTCTGTACATTTTTCCATGGAATATTGTCAGTAGAGTAGGGCTCCGTTTGGGAGGTGCACTTGTGGCGATAATCAGTCTTTTTCCGTGGTGACTCATTATAAGGCAAGTTTAATTGAAGATGAAGCCAAGTAAGTCCCATTTGAACATTTTTTCAAAGTTTGGTGCGCAGCGTCTTCACTCACGCCTGCTCAAGCCGACATCTTCAGGTGTGGCCATGTCCTGCCACTTCCCCAGTTTAGGCTCCTGGCACCACTAACGACATCACTCTGCTGCAGCCAATGAAATAGCGGCAGGTGTAACCCTGTGGTCATATCACTGAATACATCTCAGAACGTCTAATAAACAAAATGTGAACCAAAACCTGTTAAATTAATACTGTTGAGTTTGGAAAAATATCAGAATAAATTTATATTTTTGTTTATTAAAATAAAATTGCAAATATTAGGGACTATTTTGTCTTCCCCAAATATTGGCTGTGACATGTCCCCACCGTCCCTGTGCAAATCTACACCCTTGAGAAGAGCTCAGCTTAAATATGCAGGCTGACTTAAGTTTCCCATTGTTGTAATTGCTGCACAGAGTATAGCCTGAAGCTTGCAGTTGTACCTTTTGTTGACTTGAAAGTTACTGTTTCTATTGTGTGAGAGCTCGTGCCTCTTTTTAATTGTACTTCATACTAACAAACTCTACTGGTGCTTTCCAAAATTACCATCGAAGTCCCTAGCTTCTAGTAGTTGAGTTAAGCACAAAATTTGAATTGCTTTATATTGAATGTTCCTCATTATGGGCATAACCATCAGAGTCCTGCACAGGTCTATTTCTGGAGACCTGCACCTGGGCAATACAGGACCACACCCGTCCATTAACCTGGGTCAGCCCATTAGTCCAACAGCCCAGTAGTCTAGGACTAAACCAGGACTAAACCAGGACTAAACCAGGACTTAAGCAGTGTCATTAGCATAAATATAAACACACTGAAACTGCCAAACCAATCACCACAACTACACCAGTATCACCTCCGCTGATGGATTATATGTAATAAAACACTAAAGTCTCTCTCAGCGTAGTGCGTCGTTCCAGTTAAAGACCGGGAAATGGAACTTGTTTCCAGGGCAACAGATGTCCTGGATGTGCGTCAAGTATTTTTCTCCCGCTCGTAAAATTTCTTAACATTAAAACCCGCCTATTTCAACATCTGTTTGCAGGTCCGGTGCAAGACTCGTAACCACATCTGTCTTGCACAGATTTAATTACAGGTGTTTTCACTGAGAAAAAAAAAGAATAATTGACAAACCCTAATACAGTGAAATACATGTTACTGTGACGAGGGGCCTCACCATAGAGCTGACCTATTTTTATTTTTATTTTACCTGACGTCATCACGTACTGCTTTTCTTCAAAGAGACACACAATAGACGCTTAATGCCATATTGTATAACATTCTATGCAAAACAATTACATCACCATGGAGATCAGCAGGAGGTAGACTGAACCCCACACAATAAAATGATCAAGGTTCACCATAAATCAGTTTAAAGACACTTCTTGTTGTGTGATTAAAATGCATTGTGTTACTGCAGGCACTCTGGTGGGCTCATTTACAGCCAAGGATGCAGACAAAGCTGGAACTCTGAACGCAAAGATCGCCTACAGTCTCATCAAACAGGAGCCCCCGGAGGACAAACCTCATTTTTACATCGACAAAGACTCTGGGGCTATCTATGTCAAGGAAAACCTACTGGACAGAGAGGTACACAAAGTTTAAGCAGTTAGTATTTGCACCTCTGATCAAATTTTGGAGACTTTTTGTCCCAAAGATCCAACTTCTGCTGGGCCACTAGAATCATCCTGCAGAGTAAAATATAGACCAGGAGAGCTTTGTGAATGTGTTCAGTACTGGTTATTTTCATTTTTCGTCTGATTAAAGGGAACTGTGAAGCTCCAGGCCCATTCACATCAAGCATTCTGGCGAGAATCAGAATCACCTCGTACACCGAACCCACAATTTCAAAATGGCTAAAATTCACAACATTTTTATAGCTTTTTATAGGCATTCCACCTAGACTATTTTACTTAATACACTGTATGTGGAGACGGTTTCAGTGGGGCTTATCTGGACACTGTTTTTGCAATCAAGGCGTTTCATTTTCAATTGATGGAATTGGCTTGAAACACTGGGAACTTGCTCTGTGTTTCAAGCCAGTTTCATCAATCGAAAATGGCTTCTTGGTGAAACAGTGTCCAGATAATCCACTGTTGAAACCCTGTCTACTTTCAGCCACTCCTGGATGAATAAAGGGTTACACCATATCTTTGTTTTTAATGTCTGAAAATGTAATTACTTCAGAAATCTGGATGAATACATTTTCATATCACCCAGTATTGAAGAATGATTTTGATTCTTGTGTCTGTCCATAGAGGCAGGTTTCCTACACCCTGACAGTGAAAGGCGTGGACATGGGTGGAGGTCCTGGAGGCAAATCAGCCACAGGGACAATCAAGATCATAGTCACCGACATCAATGACAATGTACCCACTCTGGAGAAGGACTCGGTATGATCTCAAATCACTTTACTTTAGTTAAATGTCCATGATTGTTCAAGTCCCTAATGAGTGATCTAACACTAGCAGCAAGCTCTGACTAACTCTAATATTAAAGAGGGAACTTTTTGGAGCTTTCTTCCATGTTAAAACTTTGTCATCAACAAAATGCCTGAAAAAGTTTTAGATGCTATCCAAGCATGTTTTGAGTAATCTTGCGATCTCTCTTAGGCACTATTTGAAACTAGCAAGGCTGGCACCACCTAGTTTCTCTGCTCAATTTCATTTCTCTCCAGTGACTAGGTCAGGAATCCAAATACACTACACGGTTTGCAAGAACCCTTGAAGGTGTAGACTGTGCACCGGCCAATCAGCGAAGAGCTGTGAAGCCATGACGTCAAAGTCGTTGCGCCTGTCTGGGTCCCTTTTGTGGTACAACACAACAGTAAACAAAGCGGTCGAGATGGATGTAGACGAAGACATACATTCTGTGTTGGCGACGATTCCTGAGATTGAGAATTTAAAACCAGAACAAAGAGAATGTTTGGTGAATTTTATCAAGGGGAAAGACGTGATTGCCCTTCTTCCTACGGAATTTGGTGCATTACATACGTCACAACCAAATAGCAGCAACTGGTTATATAAAAAAAAAAGTACCCGCCTACCGTCGAGTGAATGAATCCTAATGCTTTCCACGAAGTGAAACCGGCTGATGAATCAGGCTAATTTGAACCCTCCTTACACAGCAAAAAACAAAAAAAAATCTATTCTGAAACTTTTGTCCGGTTGACAGTATAACATTTTTCTTTTGCTTTTATCATACCTGGACAGAGAAACCTCCTTACAGTTAGCAGCCCGAGACCCGTGCTCCCAAACAGCCATCTTTCATGAATATACAAAAGCAGGATACAAAAGATTACACTACAACTTCACAAACATTATGCAATAATTTCAGTTTATGAAAATTAAAAATGGAGAATGAAGTAAGTACAGAGCAGTGGGTGTATGCAAGAGACTGAAACTGAGATTTATCAGCAATATGGTGCCTTGAAAATATGTGATTAAAGATTGCTCAAACATGCACTGGAAAAAGGAATATCTCAGTAATTAAGTCCAATTACTCAAATTAAGAAGAGTTAACTTGATTTCAGTCAATTTCACTGGACAAGTAAAATTATCTGTCAATGGATAGTACAAAGAGTTGTTGTTTTTTCTTATTTTCTGTGTAACTAGGTGTATTTTCAGCTAAAACAAGACTTCCATTCCATTGGTAGATCATTTTACTTGTTATGAAATTAACTCAAATCAATATAAAATGTTCTTAATTTAAGTAATTTTAACTTGGAAAGATTTTAGTACAACTTTGGGTAAGTAAATGGTGAGAGGAAAAAAATAAAAGCTCTAAAAGGTTGAGTTTGCATTATACATAGAATAATGAGAATTGCAGTACCCATCTTAAAAAAACAACAACAAAATTTCAATTAACACTGCAGTTTTAATAATATGTTATTTTTATCTGTGATTTAGTTCTCTAGGTGTTAAATAGTTTGTTATGTTGATTATAGTACTCTGCACAAATCAAAGAGAATGACGCAGATAAAGAGATTTTGAGGATCCAGGCTCTGGACAAGGACGAGAAGCCGACGCCAAACTGGCTCGCTGAGTTTGACATTGTCGCCGGAAATGAAGACGGAACATTCAGCATCTCAACAGACCCTGCTACCAACGAAGGAATCCTCAAGCTGGTGAAGGTAGGATCAACTAAATAAATACTAAAAACTAAATGCATGCTTGCTGCTCAGTGGTCAGTCAAGCAGATTTTATGTTTGTATGTCTTGCTTGTATGGGTTGTGTTCACGTGACACCAAATACTTATAGTTTAAATTTGAGCTGGAGGATGGTTTAGAAGTCTATGGTGGAATCTGCTGTTTAACTCTCAGATTGCAGATTTGTTTACCTGGTTTATGGTTAAAACCTTTGTAATCACTGGGCCTATTCATATGAAACAGCCACAATTCAACATCAGTATAGATCAGGCAGGTCCAAACTATGGCCCCCGAGCCAAATGCGGCCTTCAGACAACTTTTTCTTGACCCCTCAGGCTTCCAGGTAAAGTGTCACAAATTACCATAACCAATCATTTTTACAGCACGTTATTTCAAATCGTCCTTGATGAAGTTAATATTGAATATTTAGTGTATCTTTTTGAGAATCTGAACATGAATAAAGGTCTAGTAGCTTAGTCTAACCTGTCCTAAATGATCGTACTGTAATTATTTACTGTGTCAAAATAGCTTCAGAAAATGGTGCCCCAAAGATGTGATTGTCAGTTGAAAGAAATTTAAGACAAAATGAATATGGTACCATTATGGAGATATCATGATATGTGGCTCACAAGTTTCTATATTTCTTTTAAAACCTGTCAATCACCCATGGACTAGACCCCTGCCCGTCCATCTGAACTTCATCAAACTCTAAAATGCTTTCAGACTTTAGATCGTTTTAATGTCATATTCCCAGATTTTTTAGGAATAGGGTTACAGTTTGAGAGGCTGTAGACTCTGAATCACATCTCCATCTTTACCATTCCACCCCAAAGTCAACATCTTACAATCTTATCCTCCTATTCCATTGGACTAAAACATCATGTGTCTTCTTTTTCTCTTCTCACAGCCTGTGGACTATGAACAAAACCCTGACATCCAACTTGGGGTCGTAGTATACAATGTTGCCCCAGCTGCAGGACCAGGCGCTGGGGCGGGTGGAGGGGCTGACTCTGGGGAGGTGGAGGGGAGGTGGAGGGGGCGATGGAGGGGGCGATGGAGGAGGTGATGGAGGAGGTGATGGAGGGGGTGATGGAGGGGGCGATGGAGGAGGTGATGGAGGGGGTGATGGAGACACTGGGGTAGATATGGGGGTAGGGGTGAATGCTGGGGCAGGGACAGGTATGGGGGCGGGGCTGGATACAGGAGTTAATGTAGGAGGTGGAGCAACAGGAGGTGCTGGGGTCAACCCACCGGGAACAAATACCGGACAAGCTCCAAACTCTGGAGGTGGGACAGACCCGACCAAGAAGAAGAAGAAGAAGAGACCAGTGAAAGGCAAAGTGTACGCCGTGAACATCGAGGTGGAGAACGTGATCGAGGGAGCGAGCTTCAAACCCGAGGTGATGCCGGTGCAAGTCTCAGAGAACCCAGAGGAGCTGCCTGAGGACAGGGTCATTGCAGTGTACCAGGCCACAAATGATGAGACAGGAAAACCAGCGGACAATGTCATGTAAGAAATGAATTTGTCAGATTTCATCAGTGTTCATGATAAAGTTTACTAGGTGGTATTTTGCTAAACTGACTTTTTGGAGCTTCCTACCGTGTAATAACCCATCATCAAAGACATGAAGTACTCATTCTGTAAATCTATTGTATTTGCAGATATGCTAAAGAGTATGATCCAGAAAACCTGCTAATTGTCGACCCAGACACTGCAGAAATCAAACTCCAGAAGATTCCAGACCGAGAGTCTCCGTTTGTGGTCAATGGGACGTACTATGCCAAAATACTCTCCATGACCAAAGGTAGGTAGAAGTTTATCTTGGCACAACAGGATTCCTTGCTTTTCTCTGTATAGAATACAAAGTCCGACTAATGGTAGAGTAAAAAGAACACACAGAGCTACTCAACTTGAAGTAAAAAAAAATAAAAAATTGTATGATATTGAACAACTACATAATTACAGAACAAAACTGTGGTCTTACTCCATCCTAAGAAACTAACAGTTCCCTTTGTGTCACAGAGGTGCCGTATACCACATCCACCGGGACATTAGCCCTGCAGGTGGGGGATTTCAATGATAACTGCCCCACCCTGACCTCCACACTGGAGTTTGTGTGTAAGAACACCCATGTGGTCAACGTCACAGGATATGACGTAGATGAAGACCCCAATGGAGCCCCTTTCTCCTTCAGAGTGGTGACGGAGAAGACATGGGGGGAGTGGACGGTTCATCCTATTAATGGTATGTAACATTTGAACTTGTAGTTTCACAGTAATTATTATTTTTATATAAAATGCTCTAGAAATTGATAGAAAAAGAAAACAGGGGAATATACTCTTTAAACATTACTAATAATGCTAGTACTATTGCGACCATAGCTTTAGTCTATTTCTCTTATTGCCACTAAAATTTCCAGTTAGTGCTAGGTCTACTACAGTTCAGTTGGTAGAAATGGTTCTGGCAGGCTAGAGGGAATAACACTTCTGCTGTAATGCATTATACAGTTTGACTACATGTTTTTATTAGTATGAATGGTGAAAGTTTCCTAAGATCTTAGTACTAATACAGTACGAACTGCTTCCTTTGTTCTGCACAGGTACCCATGCTTCTCTCCACTCCTCCACTCCTTTCTGGACAGGAGAGGTCCACCAGATCTGGCTGGAGGTTTTGGACCAGCAGGGCCTGTCCTGTCCAAAGCCTCTGAACCTGGAGGTACATGTGTGCTCGTGTGAGGGCGTGGACAGCTGTGAGTCAGAGCTCACTCTCCTGGTACAGGAGGCTTCAGTCAAGGAGTCCACAGCCACATTAGGACCACAGGGTGTAGGTGTGGTGATCCTGGCCCTCCTGGCACTGCTCCGTAAGTACTGTCCTACAAAATTAATTTAAGATTTCAATGTGTTTTTTGTGTGACATGAATGTTGTGTGCTGCAGTTGCTGCCTCCCTCGCCACCTGCACCTACGCATCAAGACAAAAGGCTAAAGCTTTTTTTGAAATTCCCTCATCCAAAGAAGGTAACTTAATGGTCTACCACACGGAGGGCCAAGGAGAAGACAAGGTGACTATACAACTCCTACTACTACAACTAACACTACCACTAATGATATGTGAAAGGTGGAAGTGATTTTACATTTAATGAACTTAAAGACGCTGTACTGTACTGTCTTGTAAATGGGAAAAACAGAACTAATTACTTGATTTGGTTACTTGCTTTGGTTTGCAACAGTCCAAAGTTTTTCCTCAAATAACTGCTTTTCCCAAGGCCAGAAAAGAGTTTTAATGTTAATTCATGTTTTCCAATCCAACATTTTAAGTTTTGTTATACTGTAATTTGGTAGGATAATCTTCCATATGTTTTTTTTTTTTTTTTTTTCACTTCAGGACGTTCCTCTTCTCAGTTCTCCAGTTTCTATAGTTCCTATCAGCCCAAACACTTATCATACAACCACCCAAGCAAACACGACCCATGCCTACAGCTCCCGCTACATCTCCACCGAGACCGACTTTGCATCACGACGCCAGGGACTGGACTGGAATGGATATGATGCCAGGGGCTGGACTGTGGAAGAGGTCAGTCATGAAGAAAGGAATCATCTGATGGCGAAGAGGTTTCAGGTCGACAAAATGGAGGGCTTCGTACTTCCTGATGTGTTTATCCATGGATACTATTCACAGGTTGGTTGGTGTTGTTTGTTAAGTTACTATTTTTACCTCTGGCTCGATTAAAAATGCACACCTATTCATTATATTTATCTAGTGACCAGATGTCCCTGTTTGCCTAGGACACGGGATGCAGTCCCTATTCTACACACAGGGTTCCCACTTTTTTTCACGGACAAAATTTTAAAACTTTTCCATGACTTTTTCATGATCTAAAGTGAATTTTCCATGACTTTATGGCACCCTACATGTCTAGAATTGATCAGACTTTTAGGACTAAATATGAAATGTTAACCCTTTCCACTCATCTTACGGTATTATAGTTTTTTAACATTCAAAATACTGTCAGTGCATTTATTGCCTCTTTTAAAGAGAAAGCACATATGTTCGGAAATAATCATAATAGCATAATGATAACTTAACAGAATGCTGTAGGTGTGTGAAAGAGATACTGAAATTCCATGACTTTTCCAAAACTTCCACGGAATTTACAAATTTCCATGACTTTTCTAGGATTTCCATGACTGTGGGAACCTGTACTCAGAGTAGCAACTTTCCATTTTTTAGCCACTTTCCATTTTGCCATAGTTAATTTGAAGTTAATTTTAATAAAACAATAGCTCTACGGACAAAATTGAGGCAAAAATGCAAAGAAAGACAGCCCTGATCATAGCTCTGCCACTCAGTGCTAATAAGGATGATGTGCCATAGACTATATATAAATGGACATACAGTAGCTGGCTCGCTAGATGCCGTTTTCCAGATAGGAAGTGACTATGGGGGTGCTTCCAGATTCATCGACTCCAATTGACTCACACTGATCCTGGTGTTTTTATTTAGCTATTTTGTCTGTAAATAAATTCACATTTCTATTATGGACCTGGCTCTAAATTTGCACCTATAACTGCTAGTCTCATGAGCTTCACCCACGCTATAGGTGACGTCACACTTCTTCAGTCCACTTCTTGGCCCATATTGCATTTCGTTGGCCCTTTTTTATCAGAACTCAAAAGTTGAAATGCAAATACAGACCATCTTTGAATCACTGTCTGACTCAAGCAGAGACTGACTTCCTTATACATATTTTCCAGAAGAATCCCTTACCTACATTTTTTTTTTTTTGTTTGTTTGTTTTTGTAGAAGGTGAATCACATTACTCTTATGGACAGCCCACCAGAGGAACGGTTGGTGTTTAACTACGAAGGTCAGGGGTCACCAGCGGGGTCGGTGAGCGCCTGCAGCATCCAGGGATCCCATGATGACCTTCGGTTTCTGGACGACCTGGAGCTCAAGTTCAGGACGCTCGCTGAAATCTGTGAACCACCTCGCCCTCCCACTCCGACCATTCCTCCCACTGTTCCTTTGGCCAAACCTAATCTGCCCACTGCGTCCATTGTCCCAACTGTTTCCACATCCAGAAGTACATTGCTACAAACCAAAACTGACCTGACGTTGCAATCAAAACAATCGACCGTTCTTCCACAGAGCTCTGAAAATTCCAATAGCAGTAGTCAGCAAACTTCTTCTGTACAAAGCAAGGAAAAGCATAAAATAGTCAGCCAACATATTCCCCAGAGCCCGCCAGCTGTAGTTAGTTTAGCACCCCCTCTAGGTCAGAATGTGCTATTGCAACAGGCCCAACAGCCAATCTACTACATCACGTCTCCAGTACCCGTGCCCATGCAATATATGGTCCAACCACAAATCCCCAATCCAATACTCTTAACGGGAAACCAAGCGGCGAACATGCCCGGGCTAGTCCTGGTTCAAAACGGGACCTCGGAACAGGTTGTGCATTCTGGTAGGAAGAAATATGGTAGTTTAAATTTGGGAAATACGCTTGGTAAGGAGAAAGGGATGGAGAAAAGGCGGCAAAGACGGTCAGAGGGAGGCGGAGACTCACTTAGCTCAGACGGCTATTCTAATGGAACGCTAACAAAAAACAACAAAGGCGATAGTATTTCTAAAGCCGTGCACGTTGATAAGAAAAGTCAAAGGAGGATGCTTCAAGACGGTAGTTTAGATTTGGTGGAGCCACTCGAAGCCAAGCAAGGCAGCTACAAAGCAACAAAGCGTAAAATGTCAGAAGGATGGGTGAGCGCAGATGGCTATGATAATGGAGTGCTGGTAAATAACAAAGAAGCTACAGTGTCCAAAGAAGTGCACCTACAAACGATAAAAATTAACAAATATAGCACACGTGTATAAAACAAATCTTGATCTTGAAAAGGTGCTATGCTAGATGCAGTTCATTTATTGTAAAAAAGGAATAATCATGTTCGAATCACTACAGTATGCAACTTTTCAAATGGGAGGTTTTGCTTTGCATATCGCTTTACCTGGAATGCACCACTGTAGCATTAAACGTACATATTTTTTATTTGTTTGTTTATATTGAATACATTTTTTTTTAGCTCATTTTGAAAACATTTCCTGGTGGCATCACTTAAATTACCACTGGACCCAAAGTTCTCCTCCCCTCTACTCATCTCCCTCTTCGTTGATAGCCACTCCGTTATCCGCTTACCCTCTGTAATCAACCTTGGCATCCCTCTAATGGGCTCTATTCACGCTTACGTTACAAAACCAGAAGTCGTTTGGAAACAAGCACGGAGTGGTGTGTTTGGACCAGTCAGAGTCAGAGCTGCTGGAGCGGTGCTAGCACAGACTCCAAGTGGGGCTAGGGTACGTCTTACAATGCAAACTTTTAGGTGCTTTGAGGATTTTTAAAATTTTAAAAGTTTATGTTGTGAAAATAGAAAAGGATCCCAACAAAACCTGACCTCTGTGAAAGTTGTGGATGCTCTCTCAGCTGAACATGGGCAGTTTGAATTCCCAAAAAGTGCTCTGCCTCTATGGGAGAATTCTTTCTGGGCCCAAGCTCCCAGGAGTTGCAGTACCTGGAGCAGCCACTAGTTGGTCTCGAGCTGGGACAGAGGGAGAACGCTTTATCCAGTTTTTATTATAGATCGACATGCCCAGTGTCTCTAACTACACCAGAAATCGTCATTCGCATGTTTCCAACGTCTTCCTGTAAGCATGAATAACTCCTATTCAGAGCCCACATAAACCACATCACCAAAACATGATCCATAATTTCGCCTTCATCACCTCCAGACTCGACAACTACAATCGCCTTCTTTACGGTCTCCCCTCCACCCACCTCCAAAAAAGTACAGTACATCCAGAAATCTGCCGCCCGCCTCCTCACCCACGGCCGAGAGAAGAACACATCACTCCTGTCCTCAAACAACTCCACTGTCTCCTCGCACAGTTCCACATCCAATACCTCCAATACCTACTCCTACATCACCTACATGCCCCTCCTTATCCTAGCCCCTCCCTATCTCATCCCTCATGATTTCTTTCATCTTCTACTGCTTCCTTATTGTTCGTAAAGCATCTTTGAGTGTCCAGAAAAAGTGTTACATTTGAGGCAAGAGTCAATTAATTAGTCAATAAAAATATAAGAAGAAAAATAATACAAAAGTTTTTAAGTGTTACATTTTCATTTTTAAAATTCCAGAAAGTATACATGTAGAAATGTAAAAAAAATATATTGATATGTAATTTCAAAGAACCGTTTTGAGGCGTTGAATTTATCTTAGGACAGTTTAAGGTGGTGGACTCTAGAGGGTGCTGCATTTCATAGTTAAGTGTACATGTAGCAGTTAATCATTTTTTAAACAACATTTTATGAATATCAGATAAATTGTATTGAGAGCACTGCTGAAGAATTTATTTGTATATTTTTGAACCAGTATGAAAGCACCTTTTTATGTGAATGTTGTATTTGTTTTGGATCAAGATACACTTTATTAACACTGTTCATAAGCTAATTTCTGATAATTAATGATGCACGTGGGGCTTTTTAATGAAGAGGTCTAATCGCATGTGGTTTTCAGCAGAGTTCAGGCTTTTGGTTTTATATACTGTATGTTCAAGAAATACTTTTTGAGAGACACTTTAATTTGTTTTAATATGAACTATAAAATAAAATGGATAAATATGAGGAAATACATGTGATTAGCCTGTTTTTACGTGTGTGTGTGTGCGTGCGTGTGCGCGTGTGCGTGTGTGTGTGTGTGTGTGTAAGCCTCCATCTCCAGACCCCTGCTGTGCTGGGAGGATTCAGTTCAGCTGGCACCTGGTTCCTCAAGCTGATTGGTGGAAAGCCATAACACCTGGCCAATCCTGGGCTACACCTGCAGCCCTTTAAAGAGAGCAGCTCTACAGGCGACTGCTCTGTGAAGTTTAGGAAAAGTGCTTTGGGACAGCTCTCTTTTGCTCATCGAGCAGGTCAAACATGGAACACAGTGCCTGCTCATATACGAGAACTTTCAACATTGGCAGCATTTTTTAAAGCTTTAAAACGGTGGTTTTTCAATAGTAAAATATGTCACCATCTTTAACCAATTTACATTTTCTTTTATTTTGAGGGGTTGTTGGTTTAACTCTTGGTTTAACTCTTAAACTCTTGACTTTGAACTTCAAATGAACTGTTTGAAACTAATTGTATGTATAGTGAGTGTGCTGGTGTTGTGTACTTTTGTGTGATTGTTGTTGTACTTTCATTTGTCCTGTAGATGATTTTACATCAACCTGCCGAGGGACTGAAGATGGAAATTAGCCACGTTGGCTATAATCTTTACATGTTTACATTTTTAATCTTCATTAATATGTACTGTCCCTTTACCAATAAATAAAATAAGAAAATAAATCAATCAATTAAAATACTGTCCCACTTTAACTGTATGTTTTTAACTGTATGTTTGAATAGTATTTAAATTTTTTTATGTTGTTATAATAAATAAATTGTATTATTATTATTATTATTATTATTATTATTATTATTATTATTATTATTAATGACTGGTCTGGATTTGGGTAGAAATGCATCAATTTACACAAAGACTGATTGACAGAAAACTTTTATTTACAACATAACATGTTCATCACATGTCCTCGCCTCCTCATCTCCTTTACTTCCTCGTGTACTTGTTCACTTAATATTTGTTGGCTGGTAGGTCGGACCCACCATCATCTCTGGGTTGTAGTACACGGTCCGAAAGGGAGCTGTCGGAACTGTTGTTGGGTTGGTATATCCAGTCATTTGTGGGACTGATCGATTATAACCCAGTGGTCCCATCGTAGCACGGTAGTTCCATAAAGACTGAGCGGGACCTGCTGGAGCTGCGGGGTGGATGTAAGCTGCAGGTGTTGTTGCGTTGCTTTTCCGTTTCTTCCGCCCAAAGTTATCCCTGGCGGACCACTCTGGGAACTTGGCCTCGTGCTCCCTCTTAGCCACTCTTGCCTGCTCGAAATATGGGGCTTGTTCATTGTCTGAGAGCGTTGTCCATCTCGCCCCAGCAATTTTGTTCACCTCCGCCGAATTGGTTATATTAAATTCTTGCATAATAAGCTCCCTCTGCTCAGCCTTGTACAGCATGAAGGCATTAGGAGGTTTTTTGATGTATGGCTTGTCACGATTGACTGCTGCTTGGGCTGTATTACTGGTTGTTCCTATTGGTCTGGTTATCTGGAACATTGTTCTCCCATTGATTGTAACTGGACAAAGATTTGAGGGTCTGACAATTGCACATGGCATTTGTGGATTTGCCATTTGTGTAGATGGTCCAGGCACTTGCTGGTACTGGCTCCAGTTTGGTTGACTGTTCCTCATGTTAGACAGTACGACTCTCTCTGGAGGATTGGAGTGGACCATCAATGTTGCTGGCTCAACGTGACGAGCTATAGGCAATGCTCCTGTTGGTGCAGCTGGTCTGGAGAATGGTGGACTGTTCCAAGGAGCATAAAAATTTCTCATTGGGGCAGGTCCAACTTGTGATGATGGGCCTGCTATCACCGGGGACATTGGGGACGGTGTGGTGTTTTCCAGGGCAGAATTTTCTGTTGAATTCTGAGCCCTATAATATTCAGCAGTTTGGTGTTGCAATGCTGATGGCATCTGGAAGTCCACAGGAGATGTTGGTGGAACTTCATTACCAGTGCCCATACTAACACGGCCGTCCAACATGGCTTCAATTTGTTCTGCCATCGTGTCCTCATCGGTGTCTGTCGAATAGTCCGACGACATCGACATTTCTTGGATCTGTAAAAGAACACAAATGCTTTGTTTTAATTTGTATAACTTAAAAGTGCACTACGTCACTTTTTTTTTGGTTGGGGGTTCATCACCTGCTTGTTTCTATAGATATGTCATTGCTTTGCCTCAAATGTTCCACAGTGTGACATTAATCAGCTCTACCTTACATTTATTAAACTACAGGTAGTTTTGTAGCTCAAAAATGAAAACAGGCATTCTGACTGTGAGCGGGGTTGCCTCTCCACAGACCTGACCTGTAACTTGGTCCGATTTGGTCTCCATGAAGATAGAAAGGTGTAATACCATACTGTGAAACATTCCAGATAAAGCAATAACATCTCCAGAAGCATTTGACAGAACCTCCACCAGAAAAGCTACACAATGCAACTTTAGAGCACCAAAAGTTAACATCAAGGAAAAAAATAGTGGCTGATATAAAAAAAAGCCAGCTAAAGTTTGAATAGCACTGTGTCCTATGTGTGAGTGTCTGTGTGGGATGGGAGTTTACCTGCGATGCAGAGGGCGGAGGGGGACTGGCTTTAGGTGAGTTTCTTGCACCGTTGGCCTGTTTTGCCACCTCCAGAGGGCTCTCCGGTCGGGAGTAAGGATTATTCCAAGGAGAATAAAAGTTTTTCCTTGGAGAAGGCCCATGTGATCTGGAGGACCCTGGTGTTGCTGGAGAGTCCAGTGCTCGTGAGTTGCTCTCAGTGTCCTCACTTATAAAGCCGTTCATCATGGCTTCAAGTTCAGCTGCCATCTCCTTCTCTTCCTCTGTAACGGGTTCCAACTCCTACAGAAAAAAACCCAAAACACTTTAACCGATGTACCACCACATTATAACAACTGTTTTATGGTTGATATAAAGAAATCCCTAGCAAAAGTTTGAATAGCACTGTTTCTATGTGTAACTTGTTTGTGTGGGATGGGAGTTTACCTTCGATGGAGAGGGCCCCTGTTTCGCTGGAGACCATGTGTTCTCAGTTGTCTTAATGATAAAGTCATGCAAAATGGCTTCAATTTCAGCTATAAACACGTCATCATACTCTGACAACTCATCAAGCGGCGTTTTCATTTCTTGGATCTGTGAAAACACACAAATACTTTTTTTTAGTTTGCGTAACTTAAAGGTGCACTATATAATGGGTTATAACTTCTAGAGTTAAAAAACAACACATCATAACTACAGTTTTAAGGCTGATATTAAGTTTTAAGGTTGATATGAAGAAAGATCTAGCAAAAGTTGGAATAGCACTGTGTCCTGTGTGAAACTGTCTGTGTGGGATGGGAGTGTACCTTTGATGTAGACGCCATTGGGGTGCTGGCGATAGGTGATTTTCTTTCACCACTGGCCTGTTTTGCCACCTGCAGAGGGCTCTCCGGTCTGGCGTAAGGATTGTCCCGAGGAGAGTAATAGTTTTTTCTTGGAAAAGGCCCTGATTTGGCAGGAGAGTTCAGTGACCGTGTGGTTCTATCAGTGTCCATATTGATACGGTCTTCCAATATGGCTTCAGTTTGGGCTGCCACATGACCCAACACCTTAACTTCGGATTTCATTGTCCTGTTGTGCATGGACATCTGTAAAAACACACAAATACATTTTAATTCAACATACTTAAGAGCCAACATTATATTTTGCACTTTAAACTACTACAACACGTAAACATGTTTTATGGTGTTTCAATAACACTGTCTACAATCTGGCCTTTGAACACACCATGTGCATTTTGAAATATTTTATCACTCCTAGCTACAATTTGCAAATTAGTTGTTATGTCCAGACAGTTACTCTATAATTACTTTTACTTGAGAACTAGTTTTCCCAAATACCTTTTACTTTTACTTGAGTAACTTGTTGAAACACTACGTACATGTACTTAAGTCCTATTATTTTGAAGTAACAAGTACTACAGTCATAAAACTCATGAGTTGTGTGTCGAAACAACATTACAGACCAAAACATGTTGACAGAGCAGTCCAGTGTGAATTTTTTTTTCATTTGTGTCTCGTTTTCAGAGTTAAAGTGACCACTAACAGCGACTACTTACCACGTATCCGATGTGAACAGGTAGCTGAAGCTTTGTTTGGGCTGGTGACTTGTAAAAGTTGAGGAGAGCTTGTGATATGCTGCTATCTGTGTGCCGTCCTGGACGAAAGTGGACAAACTGAACTCATCTCTCCCTTATACACCTCCGATGAGATGTTACGTCACATGATGTACCATGACGACGGAACTCTATATGCTAATGAGAGAGTTTTTTCCATATATTTGAAAGTAAACAATATTGTGACCTGGCTTAACTTGGTTAGCTGCATAGAAAAATAATACGATCTTCCAAAATCAAATACATGGAATCATCTTAATCCATCATCAATAAATATATGTGTTGTAACAGTCTGGTAAATACTTGAGTGCTTTTGAAACTTTTTGTAATAGTCATAATAAGTGAAAAAGTCTCACAAAACCTGCTCTATTTACCAACATTGTTCATCAGCTGTTTTAATATTTATTGCACTGCTAAAATGACGTGTTTACAGATTTATTTATTTTTTGTTTCAAACTGTTGTGTAGGGCTGTGCAAATCAATTCTAAGTATTGGTGAATCAATACCAAAAGGAGTATTAAAATTACAAAGAAAATATTCAGACTGATACTTTGTTGTTTACATTATTTACTTCATTTCCCCACATCATTTCTTACATTTAGTGATGATTTTCGCTCATGTGATGATAACCCTGCCTCTTTTCTCTTCGCTCAGAGTTGTGTTGTGTCTCTGTCTGATGCTCATACACAAACTAGTAGCAGTTTTACTTTTTAAATCAGTTGTTATTGCAATATCCAACACAGTAATCAAATATGACTGCCAAAGCTGAGAAATGAGAGGCTCTTGGAAGGTTAGGAAGGAACACCACAAGTCTTAGGGAAAAGCATTATTTAAGTAACAGTAGCTTAGAGAGTCACTGTCCTGACATAACATTTGATTTATAATACATAGTTAATGTCACTGGAAGAACAGTGGCACAAAATTTGGTATTTTCAAGGGACAGACACAGTAAACAAGACATACTAGCCCAGCCCA